AGGAGGTGAGGAGTGAGGAGGTGAGGAGTGAGGAGGTGAGGAGGTGAGGAGTGAGGAGGTGAGGAGTCAGGAGTCAGGAGGTGAGGAGGTAAGGTGTGAGGAGGTGAGAAGTGAGGAGGTGAGGAAGTGAGGAGAACCTCCTCACCTTCTTCTTTGATGAGAAGCATAATGTTGTGTGGGAAGACAGCTGGTGCCTTCTGTCTGGGGCACTCCCGAGACACAGCAAGTTCCCCCAGAGCTGCCCTGAGCCCCAGGCCTGGGGTGGGGCAGGGACTCCCCATGCAGCCCTGTCCTCACCTCTCCACTGTCTCGCAGAAGAGCACGATGACCTCTTGCTGCACATAGTACTCTCTGGGAGACTTCACGGGCACCATGGCCGAGACGTAGCTGCAACACAGGGAGACCTGTCAGACCACACCTGGGCGGCACAGGCCTCTCCAAAGCTGAGGGCTGGCATCTTCAATTAAAGCTGCAATACTGGGCAAGGCGGCGGGGGCTGGAGGCTCACGCCTGTAATCACAGCACTTTGGGAGGCTGAGGTGGGAGGATTTCTTGAGTCTAGGAGTTAGAGGCTGCAGTGAATGGTGACTGCACTGCTGTACTCCAGGTTGGGTGACAAAGCAAGACCCTGTCTCTTAAAAATGTGCGCGCACGCGCGCACGTGCACACACACACACACACACACACACACACACACACACCTGACCCGAGCACCCCATGTCAGCAGTTTGATGGTACACAGCTCCTGCCAGCCAGGCCTAGTCCAGGGCTTCCCCTGAAACCCCAGCCCTGCCCATGGGGGACGATTGTGCCAGCTCCCAGGGCTCACCCCGGAGCCTGTACACCCTGGAGCCAGTGCTGCCCGTGTGCGTGACCGTCCCTCACCTTTGCACCAGCCTTAATGGGCAAGAGAGTAAATGAATGAACCCATGTACGGTGGGTGAAGAACTTGAGCCCCACATGGGCAGGGTCATGCCGCGTGCACCTCCGAGGCCACGGAAGCCAGCCCAGGCTGGGTACAGGGTCTCACAGCAGGCCCGTGAGTGGCTGAGAGGTGACAGCTTGTCCAGCCCTTCCTCAGATGACAGCACTTTCCTTCCTCCTAAATCACTAACTCTAGGCTGGGTGTGGTGGCTCATGCCTGTCATCCCAGCACTTTGGGAGGCCAAGGTTGGTGGATCACCTGAGGTCAGGAGTTTCTGTCTCTACTAAAAACACAGAAAAATTAACCGGGTGAGGTGGCAGGCCCCTGTAATCCCAGCTACTTGGGAGGCTGAGGCAGGAGAATCGCTTGAAACAGAAGAGGAAGGTCGCAGTGGATTGAGATCGCGCCACTGCACTCCAGCCTGGGTGACAGAGCGAGACTCCATCTCAGAAAATAAACAAAAATAAATAAGTCACGAACTCTAATTTTTTTCTTATGAAAGCTGATTTACAAAATCTTGGGAAGACCAGAAAACAAAACTCGATTGTCCGTGCTCTGGCTGCCGGGAGAGGGTTGCCCTTACTGCGCTGGTTATCTCCTTCTAGAGGCCGGTAGATTACCGCAGGAACAATTTTTAACGGGAACCTCCGCCGACACCGTCTGCCTCCGTTTTTTCTCACCTCCTGGGCCATCTCCGTATCTTCAGAGGCATCATTCATGCCCAGCCCCTTGGACCTCTCCAAAGCTCTTTCCCTCGGAGGCACAAGGCGGCCAGATCCCAGCGGACCCCACCTGTGTACCCTCTGCTCACCCCACTCCCTGGAAAGATGCCCCCTCGCCCCCACCCTGCGCCCTCCAGGGTGTTACCCCACCCACAGTTGACCCTGAACCCGCCTGGCTCCTCCCTCTGTGGAATCTTCTGGCTTGAAATATCAGGGTGAGCCTGGGAGGCTGGCACTGCCGTCCCCAACTCATCAGGCCAGGCCCAGGACCCCGCGCCGCAGTACCTCAGCTCGAACTCGGCGAACAGGACGTCGAAGTGCCTCAGCGCTTCCCGCATCTTCTCCGTGTAGGTGTTCAGGTCCCGCAGCGCCTGGTCGCGGAGCGCGCCCCGCACGTCCTCCAGGCTGCGCGTCAGCTCCTTGGCCAGCGGGCGCATGGCCATGCTCTCCAGCTCCCGGTTCATGATGATGGAGCCGGCGGCCAGGCACTGCGGGAGGGGACGCGCTCAGGGGCGGGTGTCTCGGGATGGCCGCCTGGGGAGCCCCACGCACATCTCGCCCGGGGAACCCCACTGCGCACCCCATGCCCCTCTTCTCACTCCCAAGCGCGGGCCAGCTCGTGTTCCTGGTCCCGCGGGAGGTTTTTCTCACATTCAGAGCAATTGTGAGGGCGATAACCGATGTCCCCCACTGTGACCAGCAGGGTCCTCAGAGGGCCCCAGGGGCAGGGAGGGGAGGGGAGGGTGGACTGAGGCCCTTGGGTGTGGGGGCTCCATGCAGGGGGAACCGTGGTCACGTGACCCTTTCCCCCTCCCCATCCAGGTCCAGACCACAGGAAGGAAGGTCGTGGAGCCCGGAGTTCTTCAGGTCTGCGCTCGCAGGGATGAAGAAGCCGGGCTGATCCGCCCCAAGGCCCCCAGTCTACCTAGGGAGCCACAGACACTGCCTGTCAACTTGCTCACGGCCAGAGAAACACAACCTTGCCCCAAACGGAGATCCCAGCCCTGCCCATGGGGGAGTCCGCGGGCTTCTGGGCAGGGAAGGAAGGCTCCTCCGCACCCACAAATCCGCCCACATCTGCCCTGGGCACTGCCAGGCAGCTTCTCGGCGCACGCTCAGCAACTCAGAATTTCACCAAGCTGCTCTCCCGCGCAGGGGCTGAGTCCAGGCTGGGGTGACTCTGTTGCCACAGGCAAGCTGGTGTAGGGGCTGGGGCCTCACCAAGTTTAAGGTAGAACCAACCCACCTCCCATTCCCTCAGTATGATCAAGTGACACAAGACAAGAAGCCATTTCCCAGGGGACAGAAGGAGACAGTGGCTGATTTCCCAGGCTTCGGCGGGCACAGAGCTTGGGGGTACCAGGACCACACAGGGAGCTGTGTTCTCCCCCGTGCAGTCATGCCCCTGCCAGGCCAGCTGGGCACAGCACCCACTCCATCTCATGACTGCCCCAGGATCCACTCCACGGAGGTGGAAAGTGAGGCTGGAGAGGAGGGAGAACCTGCCCACGGGCCCCCGTAACTAACCCAAGCCTCAGCAGAGGACACCCCAACCAGATGGCTCAGAGGGTGGGGTGGGCAGAGTGGCCACAGGGAAGGGACAGTGGGGGATGAGGACCCCGCACTCCAGCGATTCCTAGAGAAGGGAGGTGAGGAGGATGGGGACAGCACAACAGAGGGCGGCAACCTTGGGGCCGAGGTCAGGCTCCAGAACATGGCAAGGGGAGGAGCCTGGGGATTCCACACGATGGGGGCCTGGGGAAGACTGTTCCCGCCACCTCTAAGGGCACCTTCCTCTCGGGGCCTCAGTTTCCTCATTAGGAAATGAAGATGAAGCTCTGACAGGCTATTGCCAGATGTGGCTGCTGGGGCTGCAGCACAGATCCCCAGCCCCTGCTGTGACCTGGGCTGCAGGGTGAGAGGGGAGCATTTGTTCCTGATGTGGGCATTTCCGCTATGAAGGACCACTTTTGGCCAGGCACAGTGGCTCACGCCTGTAATCCCAGCACTATGGGAGGCCGAGGTGGGTGGATCACGAGGTCAGGAGTTCGAGGCCAGCCTAGCCAATATGATGAAACCCTGTCTCTACTAAAAGTACAAAAATTAGCTAAGTGTGGTGGTGTGCGCCTATAGTCTCAGCTACTGGGAAGGCTGAGGCAGGAGCATGGCTTGAACTCAGGAGGCAGAGGTTGTAGTGAGCAGAATTCATGCCACTGCAGTCCAGCCTGGGCAACAGAACAGGACTCCGTCTCAAAAAAAAAAAAAAAAAAATCACCAGTTTTAGGTCCTATATGTCTGGGGGCCTGAGAGCCTCATAACAATCACATGGTAAATTTCATTTGCATGTACAGTTTTGGGGGCACCAGTTCATGGCTTTCCCAGATCCTCCAACGGGCGCACGGCCTACCAGGCTCAGACCACACCCTGTAAACCAGAGTGGACGGAGCTCTTGGAGGAGACACCAGGTCCCTGCACCTGCGAATGCCCATGCACAGGTCTCACAGGGAAATGGCTAGACCTGCTCACATCAGGACCTCCGACCCCAGGAAGCGGCTTGCTACCTCAGCTCCGAACCACAGCTGGCCAGCCAGGTTGTCGTGCCGGATCTCCTCAGGGAACTTGACGCAGAAATCCCTCGGGGCGCGGTCCTGGGGGATGCACTCATCCATGATCTGGTTAATGATGTTCAGTACGTTGTCCTGAAACAGACAGGAGAAAGTGTGCCAATTGCTGTGTCCAGCCAGCAGCTGCCATGCACTGCCGGAAAACATGTACCGCCGGAAAACACGCACCACCAGAAAACACACACCACAGGAAAACACGCACTGCTGGAAAACACGCACCGCAGGAAAACACGCACTGCTGGAAAACACGCACCGCAGGAAAACACACACTGACGGAAAACATGCACCACAGGAAAACACTCACTGCTGGAAAACAGACACCACGGGAAAACACACATTGACGGAAAACACGCACCGCAGGAAAACACACACTGCCGGAAAACACACACCACAGGAAAACACCCACCGCAGAAAAACACGCACTGCTGGAAAACATCCACCACGGGAAAACACACACTGCCAGAAAACGCACCACCAGAAAACATGCACCATGGGAAAACACACACTGATGGAAAACATGCACCGCAGGAAAACATCCACTGCTGGAAAACACACACTGCCGGAAAACACGCACCGCCGGAAAACATGCACCATGAGAAAACACACACTGATGGAAAACACGCACCGCAGGAAAACACGCACTGCCAGAAAATATACACCACCAGATGTTCACACACTGCCTGAAAACACGCACTGCCCAAAAACACACAACGCTGGAAAGCATGCTCCATGGGAAAACATGCAGTGCCAGAAAACATGCACCGCCAGAAAACACACACTGCCGGAAAACACGCACCATTGGAAAACACGCACTGCCAGAAAACATGCACCATGGGAAAACACATACCATGGGAAAACATGCACTGCTGGAAAACACACACCGCCCGAAAACACGCACTGCCCAAAAACACACACCGTGGGAAGACACACAATGCCAGAAAACATGCACCACGGGAAAACATGCACTGCCAGAAAACACACACCACCGGAAAGCAAGCACCATGGGAAGACATGCACCGCCGAAAGATACACACTGCCAGAAAACATGCACCATCAGAAAACATGCACTGCCCGAAAACACGCACTGCTGAAAAATACGCACCATGGGAAAACACACGCCACAGGAAAACAGGCACCGCGGGAAAACACGCACTGCCCCAAAACACGTACTGCCGCAAAACACACACTGCTAGAAAACCTGCACAGTGCATGTTACTGTTTTTTAGGATTATTAAAGTGATAGGGGAGGCTGGGCACGTGGCTCATGCCTGTAATCCCAGCACCTTGGGAGACCAAGGCAAGGGGATCACCTGAGGTCAGGAGTTTGAGACCAGCCTGACCAACATGGCGAAACCCCAACTCTACTAAAAATACAAAACTTAGCCAGGCGTGGTGGTGCATGCCTGTAATCCCAGCTACTCAGGAGGCTGAGGCAGGAGAATTGCTTGAACCCCCAGGAGGTGGAGGTTTCAGTGAGCCGAGATGGAGCCATTGCACTCTAGCCTGGGCAACAAGAGCAAGACTCCATCTCAAAAAGAAAGTGATAGAGGAACACATCCATGCTTGCTAAACAATTGCTACAAAAAGTCCAAGCATTCCAGAAGCATCTAGAGTAAAGACTGGAGTTCTTGCACCTGCCCACACCTAACTGATCCCTAGAGTACAGCGCTGGGTGATGTCTGGGGAGCTTTCTATGCTGCTGTGTGGATTCCGCCCACCCTTTCCATGGCTGCCCCGGCGTCCTCATGGGTGGACAGCCTCCTCCTCTGCTGACCGACACCCAGGCTCCCTGCAGCCATGAAACAGTGGCTGCCCAGAGCATCTCTTTCTCTGGACACCTGCACACGTTTTTCTCAAGACGGATCTCCAGAAATGGAACTGCTAGGCTGACAGACACATAAAAATGTGAAGTACACTGCCAACTTGTGTGTTGCTTTTATTTATTGGGATTACAAGCCTGTGCCCTCTGAGGTCTCCACAACAGTCAGGCAGCAGAGTGATGTCAGTGAGACACTAAATGACACCCTCCACAGAAGACATTCCACATTCCTGCAACAGGCCGGCATCCCCTGTGTGAGTAAAACGGGCCCCAGCACCAGCAACCACAGGAGCCATGGGCTCAGACGGACTCTGAGCTGCTGGCGAGCTGTGAAGCCCTCATCTTCCTGGAAGCTCAGTGCACTCCTCTGCAGAGTCAGGGGCACAGACCATGTCTTAGGTCAGAAGAGTACAATTATGACCAGGCCAGGCAAAGCTAGGTGGCGTCCCCTCCCACCTCCTCTGGAAACAGCAGTAAGTCAGTCCACACCAGAGGGGGTGCTGCTTTCACAACGTGGACACCCTGCCTCCACCCCTCATGGCTGTTCAACCAGGGACAGGTCACTTCACCTCTCTGATCAGCCAGGTCCCCTTCTGTAAGCTTCACTGCACAGCAACTTCTGGCTTTTTGTTTATTTTTAGAGACAGGGTCTGGCTTTGTCCCTCAGGCTGGAGTGACATGGCGCAGTCATAGCTAATGACAGCCTCAAACTCTGGGCTCCAGCCATCCTCCAGCCTCAGCCTCTCGAGCAGCTAGGATTACAGGAGCGAGCCAGCATGCCTGGAAGCAGCTTCTATTTTAAAGACTCTTTAAAATTATTTTACTTTATTTCCTTATGTTCAAAATATAAAGTATAACAGACTGTTTTGAACACTTTGTATATATGAGGGAAACAAGCCCATTTTTTAAAATCTTAAATTGCATTCCATCCTTTGCTGTAAACTTGTCCTATTCTTTAAATACTGACTATTCATTCTGTGGATTACAGAGACACTGGAAGCTTAACTTTTGCCTTTAACTTGTTAAATATGAAATCAGTACACATTCATCCAAGGAAAGCTGGAGATGACGGGAAGGTAGAGAAGCAGGGAAAACGTCCTTGGGGAAGCACCACTGCAGGTGGGGCACATTTCCTTCTAATTCTTATCCTCCAAGGGCTGTTTGCAACCAAAACTGAGATGATCCGTGTACATACTGTTGGATTCTGCTGCTGCTGCTGCTGCAACACGTTACTACATCTGTCACAAATCCCACTTCCGATGGATGGCAACACGAAATTCCAGCATATGGCCCATCCTGTTAACTCACTCCTTTCTCTACTGCTGGGCACTGACGCTGTGTCTAATTCTCCCCCTCCGCGTAATCTGTACTCACCACTGTGGGGCACGATGCTCCAATTGCGGATTACCTCCTTAGGACCCACTGGTTGCTAGAAATGGAATTTCAACATCAAAAGTGCAAAGTGGATTTCCAGGCTCCGAGATGCTGACAAATGGCTTTCCAGAAAGCATACACCAGTGGACACTCTCACCCTTTGCAATTTTTAATCTCGACCATCCCTCCTTTCTGCCCTCCAAGGCTTGACTTATTTTTCTTAGGAAGAAGACATGAAAACTCACTATGAGTGGGGAAGCATGACCCTTCTCATGCAAGAAATCAGTGCACTAAACTCTGAAGGAAATTCTGCAGTGTAAGAAAAATGTTAAGTCTTTTTCATACGAAAAATAAAATTCAACCAACAGGTGGTACTACTGTAGCTTCTTTTAAAAAGATTTTCTGGGTAGGAAGGTCCTTGCTCATAATTCAACAAATAAATGGGCAAACAATGGCAGTCATAGCAACAGACAGCGCACAGTACACACCGCTGTGCTGAAGTCAGCCAGGTGCCATGGCTCGTCTAAGGCTGAGGAGCCTCTAGTGGCCGTGCTTGGATTCACTGCCCACCCTGCCTGGTCTGCCAGAACGTCAGCTGCCAGAGGGAAAGGCCTTCTGTTCTTCACTGATGAGTCTCCAGTGCCTGGAGCGGTCCCTCACACACAGCATGCTGCCACAAACCCTTGCTAGGGCTTCTAACTCCAGCCAAGATGGAATAATAGGAACCCAGTGTACCCTATTCTCAGCAACAACGGTGATTCCCAGGACACTGGGCATCAGGCCACAAAGGACAGTGGTCGCCAAGAGGCAGGAAATAAACAAGGTGAGCCCCACCACTACCCCAGCTCACTGCCTTGAGGAAAGTTTCGCGTCATGGAACAGGGAACAGGAACTCAGGTGGAACCGAGGTAGTTGGGACTCAGGGGGCAGGAGGCAGAGAAGAGAGAGCTGCACAGAGAGAACTCTGGAGATCTGGGGAGGGTCGCGAGGGTGCAGCGGAGCTTTCTCCCTAAAGCTGCAATTAGGGAGAAATGTAAACCACTGAATGTCTGAATTAGCAGCGGAGAGCTGATCAACACATGCCTGTGGGGAGACGAGGTAAGGCCAGGAAAAGACACACCTGAAGGATTCCAGGAAGCAGTGGCAAGAGCCCTCCAGGAGGCTGGAGTAGCAGGAGTGCTCACAACCCACAAAGCATTGAGTACAGTACCCAAAGCGTCTTGCCTCCTCCATGTGAACAGCAGTTAACTCTAGACTAAACACAGCTCTGGTCCTGCCTAACACCTTAAAAAACAAGGCCCAAAGAAGTATACCATTTCGAAGTAAACTGCATCACAGAACCACCAAAGATATTTACAGTAATACAGAAATAGACCCCAGCAGGGTGAAATTTACCATGTCAGGTACCCAACAAAAAAATTACCAAGCTTGCAAAGAATGAAGAAAACATGACCCATGACTAAAAGGAAAGGCAATCAAAGTCAACCCAGACTTGATAAAGATGATCAGGGACATTAACATCGTTGTTATAACTGATTCCCACGTGTTCAAAAAGTTAACTAGATAAAACAAAGAAGCTAAAAAAAAGTCCTGAACTGATTTAGAGATGAAAATGACAGTGTCTGAGATGAAAAAATGTACTGCATGAGATTAACATCAGATTAGATATTTCAGAAGAAAACAACAGGAAACTTAAAGACAGCAATTGAAACTATCCCAATGAATCAGAAATAATAATAGATCATCAATGAGCTGTTAGACAACTTCAAACATCAAATGTGAATGTAATTCAAGTCCCAAAATGAGGAGGAATGAGATAAAAAAAAAATATTTGAAGGAATAGTAGCCAAAACTTTTCCAAATTTAATAAACATAAACTCAC